TTCAGTTTTCTTGTCAAGCTACATAATTGAAACTTTCTTTATCTATCCCCCCCACAGCTGCAGCTGCCCATTGGTGCCACATTTGCCAGTGGCAGACAAGCCAGTGAAGTTTGGGGGTTTCTTCCTTTGTAAGAACTATCCACTTGCCCTGTCCAGGCAGAATACTTTGCCATGCTGGTCTCCCTGTGTGACTGGCCTGTTTATGAACAGCTTTTGTCATGGCTGTTACTTTCCACTCGTGTTTTTCAGGAAAGGGAAAAAAATCACTTGTTATTGTTGTTCCCTTTCACTGTGGAACTCAGGAAACATGGGAGCTGGCCTGCAAGGTTTAGATTCAGACTTTTTGGAAAGCTCAGAGTTTCTGAAAAGTCATCAGCAAGAGGGACCAGCTGAGGAATTTGGATCCAGGTTTATTTCTGACCCTATACAAAAGTTTGGCTGTTTGGTTACAGCTTGTGGCCTGTTCAGCACTGGTATTGATGAAGATTCTGTCATGGGCTTTCTCTTCCAGGAAATAATTTTCCTTGTTAACTGTAACTGTCATTTAGCTTCTGATTGTCTGGGAGAAGCTGGGGTGACCCACTCAAAATCCTCACAGTAGCAAATACAAATACTGTTGGGTTGGGTTTTTTTGCAGGCCACTGCACCATTGCTCTGCTCACATGACTTAAATGGGGTTTATTACCTGCTGAAAAATAGAAGTTCCTTAAACCTAATGAAAGCTTTTCTCAGCAGAGCCTTTTCCAGGGAAAACCAAAACCAGTGAAGCCCCAGGGATTGTTTTGTTCAGACTCAAGTAGAACTTTCTTTTGTTCTCACATTCCCTTAGCTCCAGTGTGCCTCCAGTCAAAGCAACCTGCAGGAGCTGCATTTCCTTTGCTCCCTGCCTGGCTCTGCACACCAGATTGCTTTCATCAAAGGGTCTGACTGGATTCACATCACAGAACAGGTTGGAGATATTTTGGAAGCTGCACTGCAGTCACATCACATCCATCTGCAGTCCTGTTTGCTAGAGCACACATACAACTGTCTTCTGGGCTGCTGCCTTCTCAGGGGAAATCTTTGAAACCTTTCTGGACAACTTGCCCATGGTTCACCCCCTCTCTCTGGAGCATTGAAGGACTTGTCAGCTCCATGTTATGTCTGTGGACATGGATGCTGCTTGACTTGAAAACCACAGGGCTTTCTTGTCTGTCTTTTTTTTTGTCCACTTCTTCCTCTTCTTGTAATCACTGTCTTCCTTCTGCTGCACGCATGAACTAAAGGAACCTCTGAAACTCCACTTGAACAAGAACTTTTTGTCTTTGGTGAGAGTTTTGCTCTGGGCAGAACAGCAGGATGTGGTCTGGATTGTAGAAAAGTACATATTAACACCACCTATTGTTAATTCAGTGCCTTTCCCCATTCTGCCTCTGCCTGTTACCTCATTCTTAGGTGCATTTCCTTACCAGAGCAGGGTTGCTTTTAGCTCCTTTGGTAAGTCAGCAGAAACAAAGGAGACTCTGCTGGAGTTCCAGAGGGTGGTTTGTCTGTGGTGGGTAGACACAGTAGCTATCAAATCTGCCTGTTTCTGTTCCAAGTGACTTTTTTTGAGTCTTGCTTCCCTACCTGTTTGATCTGCTTTAGTATCTTGAACTTGTAGATGTGTATGCTCAGCAGGTTGTGGGGTTTTTCCTAGAGGAGGGAACTAGGCCATGCAAAAAAACCCTCACTGGAGGAAGTCTGACCTTAGGAAGAATTTTTCAGCTGATCTTTAATGACCCTTTAGATAATGCTCTTTCATGTGAGAAGCCTTGGTTCTGACAGCTTTCTGTGGCAGTTCTATAGACCAGGTTTGTGACTAATGTCCTTAACATGTAAGTGGTTAATCATTCTCTCCCCTTTTCCCTTGGCTCATGTAGCTGCCAGCCCTGGGCAATAAGAACAGTTGCTGTCTCCCCTGTGTGCTGATCCCAGCTGCCAAGACCTGAGCTAGCAAGGTGCCCAAGTCTCCTCAGGAGTCAGGCAGCAAGCAGGGGTGGCTGTAGCCCATCCCTGTGGTGGCTGTAGCCCATCCCTGTGGTGGCTGTAGCCCATCCCAGTGGCACCAGCACTTTAGGAAGCATCACCAGTGCTTTGTGTAGTTTGAGCAGTGGTGCAAACAGGCCTCTCACCTGTATTTTCATCTTTGGTTTTTACTTGGAGGCAGCTCCTCAAGAAGGAGCTCCTGTATGCCCTGTCTTGCCCTGCACTGCCTCACCTCACAGGTTCCTTCACCTTTGGCTTGGCTTCCTCTCCAGAGTTCAGGCTTCTCTTCTGGCTGTCCTTGGCCACTTGGAGACTCTTGTGGCTGAGGCATCCTCTGAACTGGAGAGCAAGAAACAGCTGATGCCTGAAGAGTACAGAGCAAGGAGATTTCCCTTCCTGAGATGCTTGGGGCGTTCTCCTTGGCACATCTGTGCCAGCAAGGGGGGTAAGGTTGGGGTTCTTTGCCACTCAGGTGATGATGGAATTTCTGTACTCTGCCTAACTGATTTAGGGCTTCATGCCAGTTTTAGGAAAACAAAAAATTATCCTCAAAGTGTCAGATTTTTAAAGGGAATTGAAGTGTGTGAGTTGAGCATGGGGCCTGACTGATGGAAATAAAGTGGAATTAAGTGCCCACACTCTGGAGAAATCCCACCAGACCCTGGATTTTTTTAAAGTGTTCTGCTCTTTGCTACAGTCCCTACCTGCAAAAAATTGTCCTCAAAGTGTCAGATTTTTAAAGGCAGTTGGGAACTGAAGCGTGTGAGTTGAGCATGGGGCCTGACTGATGGAAATAAAGTGGAATTAAGTGCCCACACTCTGGAGAAATCCCACCAGACCCTGGATTTTTTTAAAGTGTTCTGCTCTTTGCTACAGTCCCTACCTGACTTCAGCTCTGAGAGTTAATTTTCAGAGGCAACTTGAGGTCTCCCTCCTTGGTTTTCAAAATGAGAATCATCTTTCTGTGTTAATTTGATGCTTTTGGAAACGTCATCTCCTGTCTTTTAAACTGGAGGGCTAAAAATGGGAGGAGAACAGCCCATAATGGTGTCATCTCTGCACAGCAGCAAGGAAACAAACAGCACTGTTTCTGCCCAGTGCACAGTTTGGAATAAAACAAATCTCAAAGTTAAATATCCAGTCTGCAGAGAAGAGAGAATGTAATCCCATTTCACAGCCATGCTGCTCACAGCCAGTGTTACATTTCAAGTCTTAGAGGATTTATTTCTTTTTCCTTTGGAGAAATACCCACAACACTTGTTTTCTGGAGCTTTTAATTAAAATTTGTCATGCTGTGATAAATTCCTTTAAAAATGTTACAGGCTCTAATCCACATCAGGGGAAGAGAGGAACAGACAGCTTTCCATTTTGGTGGATTATTGGATTAGGAAAGGACACTGATTCCAGTGAGAGCAGCTCTGGGATCTGCAGGGGCACAAACTCCTGCCTTGTATATGCAGTGGATTTTGGGAACCTGCAGCTAATAAATAACCTTCCCACTGTGCAGCCCAGTGTACATCCCACAGACCAACAGTGAGTTCAACTTGGAGCACTAATAGCTCAGATTTTCTCTCCTTATTTATTTTTATAATTGTAAATGAAAATAATAACTTTAAGATGCCTGTAATTTAACTGATTTTTTTTATATAGTGTAAACATTCCTGACCTGTTAACTGCTACCTTCTTTCAGTTTTTTTTCTTTTGATTAAAATCTTCTCTATCTTGTATTTACTTGTTGCAGACCAGGTTATCTAGTGGAGCAGGGTGAGCTTTTCCTAGGAGGACATCAGAAGGAGAAAGGGAATAACTGGTGTGGTTTCACTGGTGGCATGGCAGGAGAGGGGCTGCTGAGAGCTTCACCCAGTTCTGCTCCTGTGAACAGTAAAGCACCTCCAGGACCATGTGCTGGGTGCTATGGAGAGGCCACAGAGGAGTCCAGAGGAGCTCAGCAGAAGGTGAAAAGTGCCTGTTGGTGCTGTGTTGGTTTGGCTGTTCTGATTTTAGGCTGTCCTTGAAATCCCTGCACAGGAACGACTTTGAACCCACTCTCCACACGTGTGGTCTGCAGTTCCTGTGCTATTTAAACAGGTCCAAGCCCTCAGCAGCTCTGAAATTCAGCCCCAATATGGGTGGTGTTCCTTGATGTCACTTTTCATTGTTGGTATTATAAAGATTTAATGGCATGATAAACCTTGGGACATGTTTGCCTTGAATTCAGGAGAGTGTGGATGTCATGTAATGTGTTTTTTTGAGCCTTTTGAGGTCCTGGGTGTGATGGGTCAGTTCTACAGCCCACCTCTGCAGACTGCACATATCTCCTTTTTTTTGTTCTCCTGTTTCTTTTAGTCCTCTGCAATTGAATCAGCAAAAAAATGCAGCTTTTAAATTGGCTCTGAAGAAAGAGGAGGAGCTAAGCTCTGGAAAGGGAGCCTGCATCTCTCTGGGTGAATGACATACAATTCACTAAGTCTGTAAAGCAAGGTGTATAAATTGTTGTGTTTTTAAAAGTGTACTAACCCTTGTAAAATTTGTAAATACCTTTTTAAAATAAATGTAGTTTTTATGAGTGAACCAGTTGAAAAAAAGAAAAGTTTGTATAAAAGTCTTTCATACATGGGCTGTTGAAGTGCCAGTGGAGCATTCCAAGGGAAGTTTCCTCCTGGTTTTTAACAGTGTTGTGTTCCTGTTCTGTCCAGAGCCCAGTGAGCCCAGGCAGTGCCTCTGTCCAGACGTTGGCTGTACCTGGGAGAGGAAAGTTCTCATGGCCAAGTTTTCCCCACAGGACACAGAGCAGAGTCCCCACCACTGGACTGGAACGTGCTCTCTCTCACATGTAAGGTAGTAATGGACACAACAATCACCTTCTGCTATTTAAATGCAACTTCAGAGTATTTATTCATGTAGCACAATCTAGACAAAGGGCATTTGAAAAGGATTTTAGCATAGCTTTGAAATTTTATTCTGGGTCCATTGTTCCTTTTGGCTTTGTGGGTTTAAATCTTCTCTCCTCTAGGTTCTCCTTCCAACAGGCTTTCCTGGAAACACACAGCAGATAGGTTTTTTTAGAGAAGAAATAACTTTGATGATGGAATTTTAAAGCCTGGTCAGATGCTAGAATATTACAGTCTGCTTTGGAAGGGGGATTAGGATGGCATAAATCTGACCCAACATGATCTCTCTGCCACCTGCCCGTGGAGCTGGGGGTTCAGTGTGGGGTAACTGGCTCTGACAATGGCCCCTCTCATCCCAGAGGGCATGACCAACGTCCCAGCTGCTGATGGGGCCACCACTGCAGCAGTTCCTGGAGTGCCACCCAGCAGCTGTTGAACTCTCCACTTTGATGGCAGTTCAGGACAAGAAACATGAACTTGCACAAAGCCTCAGTCTGTAGAATGTCTCTGTGAGCTTAAGCAGTTGGCCAGGAGGCCAGAGACAGGAAAGCTGTGCTTGAAAAGAGTATTACAGGGTCATTAGGAGTGGCACAGTTGCTTTATTGCCATTCCCTGCGTACCTTAGTGCTGTTGGAATGGAAACCTCTGTCACATCCTGCTGGATCTGGCTCCTACTTGAACAGTTATTTATGTTTTTACCTCAGAGTTGAGAGCCTGAGGTGTTTTGGGTAGATGCACTGTCTGAACATGGTTTTTTTTTCCCCTGATGTGTCTCAGCAAGGTGAGTTTCTGTTTGTGCTCACCACCAGCATCTCCAGGAAATGATGAAGATAATTTCAGAAGTTTTTCCACAGGGTGGACCTTTTCCAGACCCCTCCCCTTTCATTGCATAATATTCCTGTAGCAGCTCCAGGAATGTGTTACAGTGGAGAGGCAGCATCTGGAAATAGTTTAATTTGTTTTCAGTGAAATTAAGCAGCTAGAAATACGAAGGCCATGGAGTTCAGAGCATGCTATGGGAGCAAGACATTCACACTAAGTGTTTGCTGCAGAGGTTTAGAAGGTTTTACAGCTCTGCAGAGGATTACCAGCAGTTCCTGAGCAAACCTGAGATTGGGGAGGGTGGGGAGGTGCCTTCAGGTCTGCAGAGAAAGGCCAAATTCCCCAAGAAGTATCAAGGACTCATTTCAAGCACCCTCAGAATCCCTCTGGTATCTTTTCCTGCCTAACATAGTCTTTTGCATTAGAAGAGAAAAGTCTAAACATATTAAGTTACTGTTGCTGGCTCTTTCTGCAGTAGTGCAATTGGAAACCAGTCACAGACAAAGATTCCATTTCATGTTCAGTACAAATAGGATTAAAGATGACCTAAAAAAATGATATTGTTCAAGTAGTTCCTGCATGAAAATCTCCTGGCAGACAGGTCAGAGTCTGGCTGCACTGCTGTTGGTGAGCTGGAGAGCCTTTGTGCAGGCCAGGCTCTCAGAGGAAGGCTGGAGTGCATACTTGGAACTGTTGGTGTCAGAAGTGAAGTACAGATTGAGTGCTTCAACTTTTGGGAGAGCTCAGAGGGGCTCTGTGGGAAGTGGTGACCATCTGGCCTGATCAAGGTGTCGCTGTATTAATTAAAGAGCACATTTTTGCAGCAGAGCATTCTTTCTGTGGCAGTTAGTTTGTACATGAAGTCTCTGCTGTCACTGCATTAGAGCATCTAATGGAAAATACATTTCCCAGTCTAGGGACTTTGGGAGCAGCAGCTTCCATATGGCTCCAGCCTTCAGCTGGCAAAGTGAGCCTTTGAAGTTAAGCATCTGTGAATGCTGCATAGATTTGTGTTAAGGCAGAATGCATTTGAGTTTATTTTGGGTTTAATTTAGCAAGTAATGACGTTGCTACAACAGAGCATAAGACTGATGTAGTCCTGTCCTAGGGCTGGAGCTCTGAGGTCCTTGAGAACCAGGCAGATGATAAGGGCAGCACCAGTATTGCCACATGAACTAAACTTTGATGCCTCTTCCTCCTCCACCACCTTTTTTTCTTTTCCCTCCTTGTACTTTTCCCATCCTGGACCAGTGTCCTAATTCTCCTGTGTTGATAAAGGAAGGAAGATGCTCCTTACCATGGCTTCCTTCAGGCCCCTGCTCCAGGGGTGCTGGGAGGAGCCTGGGCAGCCAGTCTTCTGCACTTCCCTCAGCTTTTCCATTTCATTTGCAATCTGAAATGAAAGTTTTTTTGCTAAAGCAACTCTACCCTACTCAGAGCTGAAGCAGAAACTGTTCCACTGCACAGCTCAGATTCACCTCTTTCCCAGGTGCTGTGCTTGTGCTACAGCAAACTTGGAGTGGGGGTGCTGGAGCTGCTGTTAGGGGGGCGTCCACGTGAAGTGTTGGCAAGGGTGGTCACTAGTCTAACTGGCCAGCAGCTGGCAGTGCCCATTGCCACCTTCTCACTGAGGAGGGTGAATGTTCTCATGGAACAGCCCACCAGAGCATCAGCTGAAATTTCGGGCGAGGATGAATTGGGGTTTAACCTGGGACACAAGTTTCCACCTCTGCTGTAGAGCAGGCTGCCCAAGCTCTGCCCACAGCAGCCAGCACTGTCCCTCCTGCAGGCTGTCAAATGCCACCTGGCCCTAATGCCAGCTGCCTTCCAACTACTGCTCAAAACAAAGGGTGTGGAGATACCTCTGTATGTGTCCTGGGGGGGAGGAGACAGCTACACAAACACAGCAAAGCCTGCAGCACCTCTTCCTGCTGGTGTCTCTCACAGGTAAGGGATCCTGGCTCAAACAACAGGGCTGTCTCCATGCAGAACCTACCTCTTGAAATGATTCCACCAGGTTCTCAGCGTTCCTTTTCCCTCCTGGTTGCAAGCCATAGGACCAGTGTTGAGCCAGGCAGATTTCCACAGACAGGACAAACAGCAGGACACTGACAAAGATCTCCCTGGACTTCTCCATCCTGTGAGAGAACAAAATGTCATTCTGAGCATAATGATATTGCAGCTCCATCTTTATCTTACAGAATTACAGAAATGCTTCATTTCTGGATCTGCAGTTCTGATCTTCTGTGCTCTGGTGGCATCGTGCCAGCTGTGAGCCACAGCTGGATTTTGAGTCCCTCAAAGTGTGGATGAGATCGTTATAAAGAGATTTAACATCTGAAAAAAAAACAACTGGGTGAAGACCTAAATTAGGATTTGGGAACACCCTTTCAGAGTTTTAGGAATGTCTGGACCTCAAAGGTTCCATGAAAGCCCCTCTTAATAGTTGAAAGATGTGTTCAGTTGAGCTGGGTTCTGTTCAAATGTCACTGCTCCTTAAAAAGTGCTCTTTGGGGTCTCCTCTAATGCCAGTTTCTCCTAACAGGAGCATCTGTAAGCACTGAAGAATTAAAGGAGGAATATGGAATGTTGCTCAAGAGCATTACCTGTTTGCTGAGAGAGGCTGCAGAATAACTCCAACTCCTCTCCACTGGAAAATGTCCTGCCAGTACTCTTCTCATCTCCCCTTTTATAGGCAGCCCCCCAGCAGGTGACTTTATCTAATTCTATCTCACAGCTCTTAAAATCACCGTGACGCAGCCGAAGCAAAGCCCATAATTGGAACACCCCTGGTGTAGCTGTTCAACTCAGCTCTTTTCCCTCAGAGCCATAAAAATAACAGCTTTGCTTTTAAGAGGCTATAAACCTGACATTCAGATCTAGCTGGCTGCTGTGACCCCAGGGGAACTGCACAATCTTTTCTTTCAGTGAGTTCTAAGTTTTCGGGTGAGCTTGAGAACTCAACCACTCCACAGATTTGAAAACTCAACAACAATTCAACAAATGGCTTCATAAAGAACAGCCTCTGATGGGAAAGTGCATGGAGCATTCTCCAGGCTCCTTCCAAAGTCCTCCTCAATATTTAAATTGAGGTGGCTTGATGTTCTTTGCTCTATAAAATGCCAAGTGGTACTAAACTGATCAAATGGGCAAGTGTATTATGCTGTCAGTGATGGAGTTTCTGCTGGGCAGGACTCCCACACAGCACTGTTCAGGGTTTTTGATATATATATGTGTGTGTCTATATGTGTATCCAAGTTTTTAATTCTTGAGAGCATATGCACTGCAGTTTTCTGAAGGAGTTGATGGCTGCTTGGGTGCTGGAGTGACATTCAGTCATTTTGACTACAGAAATCTCATTTTTTTTTTTATCTGCTGGGCAGGTATTTGGACTTACTGTGCTCTCTTTTATGTGCTATTGAATGTATTGTGGTTAATTCTTCAAACATCCTCTCTTCCTGCTCCCATGGCCTCTCTGGGATTAATGGATTAAAAGTAATTTAATAAGTAAATAATTTAAGGAGGATTTAGTGACTAGCAAAGAGTAATTCTTCCTGCTCTAATGCTCCTCCTACTCATGGCAAGGGTAGCCAACATTTAACTTCAGCTGATAAACTGATCAAGCTGTGAAAATAGTTTGTGGGAGAGATGCCACCTCGGCGTGGGGACATCACTTCAGAGGGGAGATTTTCCTCTGCCTGTTTTGAGGCTCCTTCCTCCCCTGATGAGCCTAGCAAAAATTTGGGCTATTTAAAGGTAAACAGAGGATTTTGTTCATCCCAAGGGATGATGTTTAAAGAGGAAAAGGGGTTTCCTCAGCCAAATAATTGCACCTCTTACTAACTCACCTTTTTAAGCTACATCTAATGATGACCCTTAACATCTGGCAACAGCTGCTTCTCCACAGGTCTCAGTTAAGCTACCAAAGCTCCTCAGAAGGGGCACGTAACTGCACTGGGGAGGGAGCTCCCCTCTTCTCTAAACCTCCAGGCAATGATCCCAAGTTACAGAAAGGAGCTGAGAGGTTAACAAGAGATGGCAGCTGGCTTTGTTTGCCCACAAATACTTCTATGGCCCCACAAACCAGGCTGACTTGGCAGAGACCTGTCTGAGCTGAAGCCTGATCCAGGCTCTGAGGGTGCTTCAGTCTGGGCTGGTCAGGCAGGTGCCAGCTTTGGGTCTCAAAAACATCAACGTGTGGAGCTGGGTGTTTATTTTGTGAAAACTCTTCAGTTTTCAGCCACTGGAGTGTGGTTGATGTAGACCTTCCAGAAGAGTGCCCACACCTCCAAACACAGGGGTTTAAGGTTTTTGGGAGAGCAGTGTCAATGCCTGCCAATGCTGTGAAGTACCTAGCTGGCCTTGTCAGGAAAGCCTGGGTCTGTGGACTCATGGAATCAGAGAATGCTTTGGGTTGGAAGGGACCTTTAGTGGTCATCTAGTCCAAGCCCTCTGCAGGGAGCAGGGATCTGCAGCTGGAGCAGGTTGCTCAGAGCCCCACCAAGCCTGACCTGGAATGTCTCCAGGGATGGGGCCTCACTCCAGTTCCAAGAATTGGGACCTCTCTTAGCAGGAGTGCTGCAGGGCACAGCCCAACATGTGGAGCCTCTTGGGCTTCTCAGGCAGCACCCCTGGCCCCAGGAGGTGTGCTGGAGGGGAGGAGCTGGAGAAGGAACTCGGTTCTTTGTTCTCGGGGTGTTCCACAGGACTTACACAGCTGTGGGATGTGTTGTTGCTGTGGTGCTACAGAGTTTGTTAGCCTGAAAGCATGGGCACTTTATAGACCAAAGTCAAGGACAGGATTGTTTGGTTTATTTCTCTTGAAGACACAGTTGAGCTGCTTGTGCTGTGTGATGAGCCTCTGATGTGGGAGGTGCTTTAACTGGGGGATGTAAATTGTGGTTAATGACTTCCAGCTCCAGAGAGTGAACAAGTATGAAGGGTGGAGACAAAGAAAAGTTGAAAAGTGTTGCAGGTAAATGAGAACTCAAAAAAAAAACCCAAACCAAACCATCAAATTCTCAAAGGGCATGTGCTGGAGCCACAGCAGCAGTCCCCAGCACACAGGCTGCAGGGGGTTTCCTAGCAGGCAGCTGTGCTCTCTCCTCACTTGCTGTCCCTCCCATAAAAACCAGCTGAGACCTAGACCAGCTTTTTACATTAAGACAAGCAGGACACTTTTGTATTTCACACTTTTATTTAATGCAGTTTAAATTAGGCTTGAACCTGCAGTTTCTGAACAGGCCACTTTGGGCTATTCGTGCAGCTTTGTCATAGCAAAAGAGGTACCTTGAAGTCACCTGTGAGTGAATGATGCCACATGCTGTGAGTATTCAAAACATAGAGCTTCAGTGAAAGTTCAAATATATTTTATACACAGTGATTATGAAAATAGATCTTTTTTTCCCATACAATATTTTACTTCTGCCAGCTACAAAATATGATAAAGAAAAATAATTCATTTATTTCTCTAGCCCTAGGAATCTTCTTCTACTGCAACATAGAATCACTCTCAATGAAAGCGATGAGGTGAGAGCAAGGACTCCAAAATCACACTCCAGTATTTCCCTTGCATCTCTAGGAGTGTTTCCCCAAGGGTAACAGTGCTGCCCTGGGGCCAGAGCAGGAGGCCTGGGAAGCTGGAGGAAATAAAATCCCAATTCTGAGCCACATGGCTGTGGGATTTTGAGTCCCAGAAGTTCAGGTCGTACACCTGAGGGAGAATTCTGCAACTCCCCCTAAACAAATTATATTCTGGACCTGAACCAACCTTTCTAGGCTGATGGCAAAGCAGCATTTTCATAACTACTGAGACAAGACTTTGTCAAAGACAGGAAATCTGCACAAGTTGAAGACAACCCACTGAAGTAACTGTGGAAACCAAACTCCTACCAAGTTTTAGGATACTCTGGTTCTTAGCTTCCAGTAAAAGCTCTATTCCCTTGGATTCAAGGTCAGTTTTAACTTTGGGGTGTTTTAAGTAAGCATCTGAGGTAAGAGTTCTTGATGCACCTTTTTTTTTTTTGGTATAGTTTCTTTGTGTGCTTTTTGATTGTGTGTACAACGTGTTAGATGAGCACTAGCTTGGTGCTGCAGTGGAAGGAGCTTGTTCAAGTGCACCACAACTTCTCGAGGTGCTGTGAGGGCTCCTGCCCTGCAGAGCTCCCCAGGGCCCCCCTGCTCCCAGGGCAGGCTGCTCTGCCCTCTGCAAGGTGCTTTCACAGCAGCAGGCCCACAGTCAAACACTGAGACCTGCCTGGGAAGAGGGTTGTTGTGTCCATGCTTTCAAGGATTGAGTGTGCAAACACAGCTGCATAGTACACTGAGGGGAAACAAGTGCCATCCATTCATACCCTGGGGTAACAACGGGAGGGTGGAGCACGTGCTGCAGCCCCAGTGCCCATCTCTGCTTTGGTGACTGGTTTCTCCCCATGTACAGTTCATTTCCTGCAAAGAATGGAAAAAACCATTCCACAGGAGCTGCAGTGTGGAGTGGTCAGGGCGTTGGAAAGCCATTTCTGGTAGTGCAACTGCACACTGATCTGGAAGAATTAAATGAGACATCCAATTTCTGAGCAGGGGGGGCTTAGTGACAGCTAAATCTGCTGTGTGGGCAGATCCCTTCCGTGGCAGCAGCTCCCACTGCATGTTTCAGAAGATAAAGCTGTGCTATACCTGCTTTCAAACCACTACAAGGCAACAGATGACCCATGGTGACAGTTAATGACTGTTTTCACCCCAGAAGAAGACAGTACCTGAAAAACATCCTGTTGTCTAAACCACATGTGTCATCTAACACACACTCTGCATAACTGAGGAAACAAACTATAAATACACTAGTCTAACTGTAAACCTGAACTTTGTTGCTACTATACATGTATAACATTTTCTATTCATATTGCAGCTACAGGTGTAATAAATAGAATTGCATATATTGTGCTTTATAAATTAAAATGCATTCCAAAGTGAGGCAATGCTGAGCAGTGAATCTATTTAACCTTCCCCTGGCCACACGTCCTGGTTCTAGAACCAGCCCACTTCCTCACTCCCCACAAAGGTAGAAAGTGGCTGTTCCTACCTCTTAAAGAAAAGCTCCCTCCCCCCAGAGTGATCAAAGAAGAGTTTACTTAGGCACTACTGCAGATGTAAGTTGTCCAATAACCATTGTTTCTAGCTTAATAATGGGAGGAGGTGAAGGAAGTCAGGATGAGTGTTTTGATGCCTTCCTCTTCAGCACGGTCTCTCCCCTATCTGACACTCTGGGACATGTGCAGAGGTGTCAGCATCTCTTCAAAGATAGCTCCTTTTACATTGGATCCCCTCAGATTAGCTTCTTGTAGATCACACCCTGACAGATCACAATTCTAAAGGGTAAAAGAGAAATAAATGTTAATTGAGTATACCCAGAACTCAGTTCAAAACTCTTACCTTAGCTACATTTCTACAGCCTACAAATACTTCCATAAACTCCAGTGTAAACTTCTAGCTCATTGCTCTGCTCTAGAGCTGAGGTTACTTCTTGTAAGACAAGAGTTTCTCTTCACAGTAACAGCTGGATTTAGTTTCAAGTTGTTAATCTTAGTCTTTATATTAAATTCCCTTCCAGGAGCTGCTGATCTGTGCTGAGCAAAGCTAGAAAGCAGCTGCCTCTTGCAGTCCCCAGGCATTGCTCTGGATGCTTCTTGAACAGCCCCATACTCAGCCTGCAGCACGAGCCACTTTGTCTAAGGAGTGGAGACAGCAGCAGGTCACATGCCACCAGTCAGGTAAGATTCCACAGGCACTCTACAAACACCATCCCAGGATCACAAACCACCAGACCCACAAGGCAACTGGAGTCTCCCCAGTTCTCCAGCAGTGACCTCACACTAGGAGTCAAGTTCAGCAGTGTTTCCATCCATCCCTTCTGATGCTACCAGCCACTCCTGGGACTCTGAGGTGCTGGCAAGTCTAACTGAGGCTAGGATGAAATGGGCTTCCTTAGGTCATCCATAGCTCACTAAGACTGAAAGAGATGAGTACACTGTCCAGTTTGAGGCTGGTAGTTCAGCCAAAGCCCAGCAACCCCCCAAGGTCTATCACCCAGTGAGTGCACCAAATGAATTTAACTCACTTCCAGGTCAGTTCCTGCCAACGTTGCTCCTCTAAGGTTACAGTTCTTTAGTTTTGCATTTTTCAGTGTTGCAACTCTTAGGTTGATTCCTGTCATTTGACTGCCTTCCATGTCAACACCTTTCAGGTTAGCACCTACAACACAAAAAGAGTAGTTTTATGAGGAAAACCAATCAGAAATGTAGTAAGTCCAGAACAATGCCTCCTCAGAGCCATGTAAATTGGCAGAGCTCAAGGTAGAACTTGGAATTTAATGTTTATGTGGTTACACAGCCTGGTGCCTGTGGCCTCCTCATGAAAACATGGGTTGTACAAACCACCACTAAACCTTCCACATGCCATATACATTTATAAACTCATGGTTCAGTCTCCACAGAGTACATAACATGCAAAAACCTCCTACCTTCCAAATTAGCTTTAAGGCCTGATGGATCTTCAAAATTGCAGCCTTTTAGAGATGCTCCTTCTGCATTAGAACACAGCATCTTCACCCCCTGGAGGTTTGCACACTGAGACAGACATGCCAGTCAGATTCACAGAAGTGCCAAGATGAACAATATCAAAAACAATCATAGGATTGTTTTGGTTGGAAGAGAGCTTTAAGATTGAGTCCATCCATTCCCCAGCACTGCCAGGTCCCCACTGCCCCGTGTCCCTCACCCCACATCTCCACAGCTTGGAAACCCCTCCAGGGGTGGGGACTCCACCACTGCCCTGGGCAGCCTGGCACAGCCCTGGGCAACCCTTCAGGGCAAGAAATTGTTCCTCAGCTCCAACCTCAACCTCCCCTGGGGCAACTTGAGGCTGTTTCCTCTTGTCCTGTCCCTTGTCCCTTGGGAGCAGAGCCCGACCCCCCCCCGGCTCCAGGCTCCTGTCAGGAGCTGTGCAGAGCCAGAAGGTCTCCCCTGAGCCTGTTCTCCAAGCTCAACCACCCCAGCTCCCTCAGCCTAATCAGAGAGTAGTTTTCATTTATATTCCAGAAGTGAATCCTACTAGAGCACCCCAGCCTGGCTACTGTGTGAAGTGTAAGGACTTCCTACACCATCACTTCTCTATCATCAGGAAGACAAAAAATTCTCTCCCACTGCCCCTTTTTTCCTTTTTTTTAAACTTAAGATAGCTTCAAAACCCTTCTGAAGTGAGCTCTAACTAGAAGAACTGCAGAAAATATTGAAGAACTCCATGTTTTACACTTAGGTGCTCGTTCCAATTCCTCTTCCCTCCCAAGAGCTGGAGGGCAGCCCGGGGGGCAGCGGCTCTTACGTCCAGCACGGCGCCCGAGAGGTCTGCCCTCTCCAGGTTGGCACAGCAGAGGTTGGCGTGGGCCAGGTTGCAGCGGCTCAGATTGGCCATCTTGAAGTTGATGTAGCGCAGGTCCAGCCGGGAGAGGTCTGCTCCACTGAAATTGAGACCCTGGAACACACACCCAGCCCCCCAGCAGTTACAGCAGGGGAGGTGGAGCTCAGGACGTGAAATCGTTATTGTTTGTGTATGGGTGTATGAATTTACACAAGGATACAATCTGTACACACACAAGACCTTCTATTCTACTACATAAGACTAATTAGATGTAAATGTGAAACTATCAAGCACTGTCCTTGCTAGTGCAAGTGTATTTTACACTTAAACACAACAAATTGCTCCTCCAGGAAACCTTCCACCTACAGAAGGGAAGCAGCTGGAAGAGCACACTTGGATTTCATGTCAAGGTCCTTCTGCCACAGCCTGGAACCAAAAGCCAGTTAAAAGCCAGGCAGAAGAGGTGCTCGTTGGGTGCACCCATGTTGTCACACTGCTGCAGGAGGTGCCACCACCAGACACTGACATGACAAATGAAGACAAAAAATTTGCCCCTGGACTGGGCACTGGGGAGGCCACAGCTTGAGCACTGGGGTCAGTCTGGGGCACCACAGGGTAAGAAGGACACTGAGGGGCTGGAGCGGGTCCAGAGAAGGGCAATGAAGCTGGGGAGGGCTCTGGGGAACATGGCTTGTGAGGACAGGCTGAGGGACCTGGGGGTGTTCAGTCTGGAGAAGAGGAGGCTCAGGGGAGACCTTCTGGCTCTCTGCAGCTCCCTGACAGGAGGCTGGAGTGAGGTGTGGCTGGTCTCCTCTCTCAGGTAACCAGTGATAGGATGAGAGGAAATGGGCTGAAGCTGCACAAAGGGAGGTTTAGTTTGGACATTAGGCAGAATTTCTTCCCTGGCAGAGTGGTGAGACCTTGGCCCAGGCTGCCCAGGGAGGTGCTGGAGTCCCCAGCCCTGGAGGGCTTCAATAAACATGCAGACATGGCCCTTGGGGCCATGGTTTAGTGGTCACGGGAGCGTTGGGTTGATGCCTTGATGACCTCAGGGCTCTTTTCCCACCTTGCCCCTTCCCTACGCCCATGAAGGGCTGCCCCACCTGGCAGCGCAGCTCAGACTTGGTGGGGGTGGCCAGCAGGAACCGGACGAACTCCTTGCGGGAGATGGGGGAGTGATCCTCAGCTGGCTGGGAGTTCTGTGGAGACAGGGCAGCTCAGCTGCAGGCAGGAACACACCCCTGCCCGGGACAAACACCCAGGTAGGAGAGGGAACAAGTTACCTTAATAGCTACTTCTAGATGTTCAATGAGGGAATCGATACCAAAAAACCTGGCTTCTTCCAAAACACCTACCAAGACAAAGTATTATGGGTTATTTCCAGGGAGCAGTTAGGACACTCAAGCTCCCTGCCTGGAGAAGGCAGGGCATGGACACGTGCCAGAGTGTCTGTGTTAATCCATCTTTACTACTGGAGAAGCATCCATCCCATCAGCTTTTCCTCCTTGTTATACCTTTGATATATTTTAACTGCTTATTGAAGTTTAAGGATTCTCAAAAAATGCATAAAGTAATAAAACTTGACAACCATGTACATTATCTTAGAGGCAACTGGACAGAGGAAAACCCAGCCTGTCTGCAGCTAGAAGGGAAAAATAGCTCAGGAAGGATGCTTCCAATGCCAATATTGGCTTAAAGATACCAAATCTAGAATTACAGTTGGATATTAATCTAGAATTACAGTTGGATATTAACCCAGCAGGGAGAATTTTTCATGCTCTCAAGATAAATAACTTCAAACAGTGCATCTTCATTAAACCAAGCAAGTGGAATTTTAACGCTCAAGAATAAACTCACAAAAGAAAAACCCCAAACATGCAGATGAGCACACCAAGGTCCCACTGACTTTATCACGTTTACCTGAGGGCAAAGTTTAACTTCTAAAGAGTAATAATTTAGGAGATGTCACAGAGGCAATACCTACCTAGCAAATTAATGCCATCATTCACAATGAGCTGCCCGTGACGCAGATAGTTCAAAATGGGCTCAAAATACTCCGGGCTGCGGTCGATCAGGAATGCTCCTCTGTGATCCTGCTTATTTCCCCATGCATCTGTTTCCACAACATATATATCATTAAATTGGATATATTAATAGAAGAGCATTTGCTTCAGTTCCAGTTTTACGACCAAAGGGTACTGGGTTATGAAACATTCCATGTCTTAGGGAACAGGAGAATAAGAGGCAGGGTGGGAATCACCTTCAGACAAACTCACCCCTGCTGTAACTAAACATTTGATCACAGACTAAGAATCATTGCTGGAATAAAAGCAGCATTAAGATTTCAGCCTGCCCTGTCTCCCACAGCCTGTCTCACAGGGTGTTTGCTCATTGATTCTGCTGACAAAACAAGAGGCAACAATAAGATGAAAACCCAAAAGCAAAGAAAGACTCCAAAATATCAGCTATGGATGGAAGTTCAGTCTTCAGTCTGTGAGGTGATGGGTGTTACATGGGGGCAATGGAGAACTGAACAATTATTTACCCCTGCTCTAACTAAACATTTGATCACATACTAATCATTGCTAGAATAAAAGCATTAAGATTTCAGCCTGCCCTGTCTCCCACAGCCTGTCTCACAGGGTGTTTGCTCATTGATTCTGCTGACAAAACAAGAGGCAACAATAAGATGAAAACCCAAAAGCAAAGAAAGACTCCAAAATATCAGCTATGGATGGAAGTTCAGTCTTCAGTCTGTGAGGTGATGGGTGTTACATGGGGGCAATGGAGAACTGAACAATTATTTTAAAAAATTATTAGACATTTGGCTTTGATACACTTTTGATATTTTAACACAGGACAAGTCTCAGCTTACTAGTGCCTTCTGCCTGCTTGGCTGATCTGTTAGCTTAAAAAAAATAAAGTTTACTTCACTATACTAACCTTTATCTTTAAACATGTGGGCCAACATACTGTCAGGCTCCTTATTAACCAAAGTGCTCCTAGAAAACAAAGGCAGCACAATGTTAGTTTTCCAATGGAATGTTTTCCTCAGGAGACAAACCTGCTGGTTGGTGTTTTCTGCCCCCAGTGTGTGCCCCACATTCCAACAGCACTGTATGGAGTTAACTTTGTGTAGTGGGACAACAAAATACATTCCTGACCTATCACAAAGGTGTTTTAAATACAAAGTGTTTAATTAATTAAAAACAAGGATCAAGCAAGGCCTGTTCAGGCTTTGCACCATTTTTATTTCATGTATCAACTGTTTGAGAATTAATTAGTTGCCAAATTATGGCAGCAAATACGAAATACAGAGTGAGCTGCAGAAGTCAAAGACCTCCCACTCCACAGTAAGTTCATTTTTCTTGCTCACCATGTGCACTACCAGCCCCTGTGACTACTGGACTGAATTCAAGCCCTTTAAGCCCCAAACCAGCCAGCTGCCTTGTTACCGTGTCGTGGTGAAGTATCGGCCTCCAACGTTGAGGGTTAACCAGTCTGTGTGTGCCCCTGTGAGCTCCTCCTGAGGCCTCCCATCAGTCTGGGGGTCTACACAGATGAGAAAGGCACAGGAATTAGGAAATATCATCTTAGGTTTACATTAAAGCAAAACAAAACCTCTTTCCACTAAACAGGAGGTTAAACAAGAATTAGAGACTTACCAATGAAGGGTTCCCCTTCACAGACAAACAAAACATCATCATCCCTGAAAGGGGAAGAGGAAGAGAAGGAAGGGAAAAAGATTAATCATTATTTTCTGTTCATCCAGGTGACAGTGGGAACCCCTCCTGCTTAGGGTCAGCTAAATACACTCAGTTAGAAGTTCAATATCTGATTTTTATCTCACTTTTGCAGGTTCCAGTGGATTGTGACACGATGGACTTCACCAGAAATGTTATGAGTATCAACCAGGTAGGGATCCCCTGTTACTCAAACCATTTTAGCTTTACAAAACAGCAGCTTCTCTCCCCACTCTTGGGGTATTCCATGAAGCCAAGGCAATGCCAGAGCCTGTCTCCTTTTCAGAAAGGTTTCATCCAAGTGCTGACTAGAAAAGTGGGATTTCCCTGGTACATACATGACCCTGGTACATGACTCAACACAGGAGGATGTTAAGAAGCACAAAATGCAGCCTGCATCAAGCTCTGACTGATCCAGACAGAAATGCTTTGAAGTTCATAAGGCAGTATTAATTTTCTCGAGGCACGAAAGCACCTCTGGGCCTGCTGGCTGGCAGTGATAAGATGTTTTTAAGGCAGGCACTGGTTATTGATTAAGGTCAGAGGATTAATAGGCTAGAAAATCTCTTAATCCACATCTGTGGGTGACTTTCCTTGGCTAAGCCTTACCTAATCAAAGCGATATCATCGATGAGGCCACCCTTGCCGTTGTAAACACTGGTTGCTTTTATTCCAAGCTTGTTACTCGCCACAGAGAGCAGGTCTGACAGAGTCCCATACACAGCCACCACCTGGGGAAGAGAGACAGCCACAGTCTGGATTCTGCCACTTCAGACTTTGAAACAGCCCAACGCTGAGGTTAGAAACAGAGCTGCCTTAAAATAGGGACGCCTTGCACATCTCTCAGCCAAGGCTTCCATGTCCCAAGGTGGCAGCAGCTGTGGAAGAATGACTGTTGGTACTCTAAGGATACTGAATCAGTTATTTCTCTAAAGAAATACAATTTGGTTTGATCCCAGTCTCTCTTGAATTTATTACTCACTCTAAAACTAAGCATTAAACTACTGTCCCATTAACAGTCTTCGTTTCAGTTAGATGGACGGGAAAAATCAGGGCTGGTGCCCGCAGAACTGCACTGCGGAGCCTTCTCCTGGGTCTACAGACCTCAGATACTTTCACTCCTGAGCCAGGTTCCTGCGCTTCCACCCCTGAAACCCTCCTCAGGTTTTAGAGAGGCGAGCAGGGTTCAAGGAAGACCCTTCACAGGCTACTCGCTAGTGTCAATCGGCCACGGCAGAGATGGAATCCCGCAGGATTTAACCCGCTCGCCCCCACGCCGCCGGACCCGCACCGACACCGACTTCAGCTGCGGCTCCAGCGCCCAGTCCTGGGCTCGTCGCGACTCCTCGGCGCTCGCAGGCGGG